TTAATATAAAGCTTGACGCGTCCCGATTTTACAAATTTTTACAATCATTGACTAAATTGAAGACTAGAAAATTGCTGAAAAAATGTATGCGTATGTATAAATTAAAATCAGTGACAGAGCATTTTAAAAAGCATTGCAGTTCTTCATCCATTTCTGTCCGACGGCCCAAACATCCGGAATTAACGAGCAGAACCACGTCGTCCACTAGCCCCACTCACTAAATCATCTGCAATGACCGCGAAAGTAGGACGGAGGCATTTGAAAATATACTTTATGAGCTGTTTATTTTGAGCACGCGGACAAAGAGGGAGAAAATAAATTTGAATGCTGGTTAGAGCAAATCACGTAAAGTTGTAATTTGTCTCCAGAGGACAATGCAATTTTTCCTATACCTTATTTCTTTATCCTCCACGTCATGCACGGCCCAAACGCCCAATGTGACATTCTCAAATGAAGTTGTGTGAATTTCATTTAAATAGAGCACGTCCCAGTTGCGAAATCTTTCCATCTCCTCTATATTATTTTTTTTCTGATAAAACAGCTCCGACATGATATGTTGATTTTTATATTCATCGTGTTGGATGCGTGTTTTTTTTTTACATGATTTATCTGTTGGTGCAGCGGCAAAATATCCGCAACTAACGCGCAGCGCCCCGTTTCTTTCTCTCGATTTTTTCGCCATCTGAGCGGCATAAAGTCGGCTGTCGTCTAATTTACATAAAACTAAACCCCCAACAGAGCAGATTTCTTGTTTTATGGCCGGGGAAGCTCGCGCCGCGCTGGATTATCATGCTGTACACTCTCGCGTTCGACAATAAAGCAAAAGGCGTGGCCGCGCGCCTCGCATTATTTTCTGCTCAAACGACGCGCCGCCGCCGCCCTGGTTCAAAGGGTGCGAAAAGAGCAGTCATTAATAACATGACGCGCGTCTGCCTTTTTTATTCGCACATTCCCATGCAAACGTTACAAGGATAGTATCATGCTGAGGGGGTATTTTATGCATCACTCATTTACACTCACAATCAGTGATCAATCGGCATAATATTGAAAGCATAAAAGAAAAACGAAGTGCATTATTTTTACACTTCATTTTGTGAATCATCGCAATTTAGAAATTCTGTTATCTTACCTGGTAGGCTAAATTATTCTTAAATTTATAATATAAGCAGTATATGAAAAAAAAATTAAATTCTTGATTTTTACCTCATCAAATAAATAGCTCGACGAAATTCACAAGAGCTAAACCAGCAAAATGTGGATAACTATTTATAATTAACTAAGTATTACTAAATTTTATAGCAATAAATAATGAACACACAAATATAACATTATATTTTGCGCACAATATGTGATTAATTGTTTTAAATTATTTACGAATTTAATGGATATTTTTTGTCAATTATTATATTTTATTTAAAAATCTTTTTTACTTCATACCTGTTTTCTTAGAATGTTTATGCTATATTCAATATATGGCAATGAAATAAAATAATAATTAATAGATTATTCCCTTCCACAACATAATTCATCTATTATTTAACAATAATTTGACGATGTTTATTGTTCTTTACATAAATATCTTATGAATTCATTAGGAACAGCACTGCGTTGATTATTATTAGGTACTTCATAAAATTCTGTATTGATTTTGATATTGATGGCTAAGCGCTGAACTTTCAATTGTCTACAACTCTACATCTCATTCTTCATTTAAAAAATTATTGAATCTTTGTGTTTCAGGTGCACAATGCATGCGAATGTGAACATCGAAAGGAACTCCTGGCGGCTGCCCCCTGATGAAACGGTTCAAGTGGCAGATCCGCGGTCCAAGAAGGACGATGAGGTCAGTCAATATTTTGCGCTTTTCCTTCTTTTTCTTTTGTTTGGCCTCACAAAGTGCGAGGCCAACATATCAACCAAGTGACCCCTGATAACATTTGAGCCTAATGAAATTTAGGACGTTGATCACACGCTCACTGAATTTTACAAGACCTTTATTAAATTAATTGATTTTATTAATTAGTGCCTCTGACATTATATGGTCGACAGGTAATAAAAGTAGGCTGATAATTTTCAAAATGTCACAGTCCCCTCCCTAATTTTTATTACTTAAAACTGGCCATTCTTTTGAAAATAAGCATGTAACAAAGTTTTCTCTACAAAAATTTAAGAAACATTACGTATTGTTTAATTGGTGGAGATTTGAATTTAAATTCAGCTTTCCTCATTGGTTTTTGTAATAATCAACTCACAACACCCATCGAGGAAAAGCTGACTTTAAATTAAAATCACCATGAATCAATCCTCGATCATAAAATTCTATGATAAAAAAACTTAAATTGGGTTGACATTAAAAAAATACCCTGGAAATCCACCTAAGGTTAATTAATGAATATGAAATTTAATATTTGAACTTGGAAAAGTGGGTAGTGAGGAATGTAATTAATTTAATTAATTATTATATCTTGTAACTTGCTCTAGATGTAAATTTATTATTAATTTTTAAATTTGTTTCATTGGTTTAGCAATTTGTCAAAAGTAAAAACGACATATTATACATAACTGCTTTTATTAATTGATTTAATAGTATATTTAACAAGGCAGTTATGAAGTTCGTATAAACCAATTTTAATTTTAAACATCTTCCTTCTTTGAATATTTATTTTGTAAATTAAGTGCATAAGAACATAGCGTGCAAACCGTGGCTGTGTTTTTGTTTGTGTTGAGATTTTAAGTGGGTCGTTCGTCGTTCGAAACCAATCGTTAGGTCGATAAGCAGTCAATGCTTTAATTACTGGTGTGAGTGGAAGTATGGTGCGCCTAGCAGGCAGCGGAAGGGTCGAGATCACATTCGCGATAACCAAACTAACAAATGAGGGCCTATTTTGGGGCCAAGCCGGCTGCAGTTCCCACCCTCTTTAACCCCTATTAATCAAATCATGGATGTCTGGAAATTTTAGAAATTTACTTTTGAGTTCCACTGCTCTGAATTGATCAAAGTAATATTTATTATGTACCGTTACTTGACGATTTGAAAATGCAGAATGCAAAAATTACTTGCTGAAAATTTCTTTGAACAGAATAATAAAAAAAATCACATTTTTGCAATTTTGTCATATACATTATTTAAGATACAAAATTAATAGATTATCTGCCTTAAATATTTATACTTTCATGTGGTAAAGGATAGTTATGAAATTTTTACCACTCATTATTATTGAAAATTGTTAATATAATACGATGACGATTGAATGATATTGAAACATAGCTTACTGGCTTTGGCGCCTGCACACTGGTGAGCGCTGGTGCTCAAAAGTCTCGATAGGGTGGCGAAGAGGGTGCACAGCGTGTGTCGCCATCGCGGAGAAGAGCAGAACTTTTGCGGTGTGCATTAAAAAAGCCCCAGGAAATCAGAGCATCAAGATATAAGAAATTTAATATAAAAGTAACTGAACAGGCTTTATAGAAGTCCTGGATTCTTTAACAAAAATTTAAAATATGTTTCGCCTCAACCAAACATTTTTAATTATTCATGAATATATATTGTTCATAAAAAATTACTTACGTGGAAAGTAACAACTGGCTCAGAAACCTATAAATATTTTTATTTACATAAATTATTTACAATTTGCTTGTCATTGGCACTGACATTGCGGCAAGACCCGAATTGTGTGCCGCGATGGATTGGGTCGGTCTCTGCTTGGCTGCTGGCGGGTCTCGTTTCTCCGCAGGAAGGCCTTGGTCGGGCTGGCGGGTTAACGTGAATTAGGCCATAAATTGAGGGTGAGAGGTGTGCCCAGGAAGGAAGTTCAAAACCATCGCTCGCTCGCATGCCCTTTGCGTGAAAGTAATGGATTTACAAACTCCGCTAGCAGCTGCACTGCGACGCCGTGTGTCAGAGAGGGCACGAATAGAAAAAAAAATAATACAAAATAAATGCCTCCTTTGAACTCTCTCTATCTCGAACTAATGTACGTTTTCCTCGCAGCTATTTTTCTTGCATATGAATGACTCATTTCCTTTCTCTCAAAGAAAGGAAATTAGTGATGGCTCCAAATTTCCCTTGTCTTCTTGATGGCAATTAATATTTGAATTTCGTGACTCTACGTACTTTTATTTATTTTAGTTCCCATGATTTCAAGAAGTTTAGTTAATAATATTTACACGCCCTGTGACGCACTCGGAGACTAAATAATAATATACGCTAAGAGCATTATCTCATCAAAGCTTACCGCGGCTATTTGGCATTTCATGGCAGGCGAATTACAAAGATGGATTGAATGGGCCGAGATTTGCGTGCAACCGAAAGGTTGTTTACAGACCCAAATTGACTATAAATAACACTGCAAACAATATCTTTGAGGCCAATCTTGACACCTCTGTCGCCTTATTATGTGTATCGATAATTTCACAGGTGAAAATCGTGGATCAATTGGCCTTTGCACAACGGAAGGTTTAATAAAAATCTCACTCAATTAAAAATATGCAATATTATCAATTTCTGTACCATTATTGATTTTTGTGGTTCTTAGGGTTTTTAAATACAATAATTATTTCCCCACCTCCGGAAACCATTTAATTAATTAAACCACAAAAGTATTTAAAACGAGGAAAAGTTGTATTTTTTTACTCTTTTTTTTAAATTAAATTATTTGGACTCACCACAATAATAGGGAAAATTGTGGTAAAACATACAATTATAAAGCAGCACGCAGCCTGCAGTATATCCAATTGTTTTCCCAACCATGGTGCCGCACATTGCTATTGGTAAGTTGCATCTTCAATTAGATCAGTTTTTAAATAGAAAATATTCTACGGAAAATTCATAATTGATTTAGACTTCAGTAATCTTTGTTGAAAAATAGAATTACAATAATTAAAGTTTTGGCCACTTTCATAACGAAAAGTTTGCTCTGAAAGTACATTTATCTGTCCAAGTTTTGGCTTTGACACTTTTCGTGTCCGAGAGGTGCCTCGGTGTTATTCACTACCAACGTGAGTACTGGTCTATTATTTATTTATTATGATTGTGGACAAGCAAATAATGTTAAAATAGCATTCAAATAATTAAATCTTGATAAAATCCAGTTGGCTACTGGACTTCCACATAATCATAATCCATCGAACCATTGCACTCTTCTCTCTCTTGATCGCATTTAAATGAAGGGAAAATATTTCCAAATGATGAGGCAAATCTCAATGGCTTATCCTGGTTAATGTAATAATTGCAAAATTAATTATGTTGTTTTCAAATTATAATTTATAGCAATTCCATTATCTCTCACCATATTATACGAACATTTGACGGTGAAGTCACTACTGATTCTATTCTTAGACACTCCTTCATCAATCAGGGCTTTCACAGTATAAGCCACACTTCGGGAGACGATATGGTCTGTAAAAATTAAAATTAGTAATTGATTTATTTAAAATGTTGTACGCCAACTCATTTGATTGAACTATTTCTTTGTATTGCAAAAACTGGAAATAGTTTATCTGATTTGGTTTTGCCTAAACTTAATTAGCCATTTTTTTTAAATACAACCTTTGTAAGTTCCAACGACACCAATATGAATTGAAGGTTCCACGTCATTTTCTGAAAATGGGGCCACTTGGTCCCAACCCGCACCCTCAAAAACTCCGGTGCATCCTCCGACAACAAAACTGTAATGAGCGTGCATATTTTTATGGAGTATTCAGTGGAAAATAAATTATTACTTATAACCAAGATCGGAGCAGTTGTTCTTCATGTGATTCGTCTGCAGATCCTTTATAACTTTCTTGCAGTTTGCACTTTGGGGAATGCCACAGTACGGAGTCACTGTTGGGTGAAGGTACACGACGCTAGCCTTGCCGTTGTAAGGGTTAAGTGTTTTAGTTGGATTAGCAGCATTCCATTTGTCTCGCTTATAATGGAACAGTCCAAGGCAATTTTCAGCAGCAAAAGTTGCCACGACGAAAATCACTGTCATAAAAAAATGAGAAACAAAATAACTTTGTCGAGAAATATGACGCAAAGAATTTCTGATAATAAGAGCAAAAATTATCTTATCCAAGAAAATTATGAATTTTAATTTATAATTAATAGAGCCTCTGACTTACAAACAATGATCCGCATGATTATCAATCTGGGGGAAGAGAGAATTCAAGGCAGTAAATTTATATTGCAAATGAAAAAGAAGATGGTAAACTTTGCCCTGCTTTAATGATAAAAGCTTTTGCGCAAGAAGGAAAGACGACAAGATGATCATTAATTGTATCAATTGCGTCATGAGGAAATTACACTATTCTAGTTTTTATTGAATTAAAATTGAAAAACTGGCGGTGAAATATATAAAAAACGACCGAAACGATTATAGCGGGGAAAACAGAAAAAATATAATTTATATTTTAATTTATAATAAAATTAAGTCTCTATCAAGGAAAATAGATTGCAGAAAAAAAAATTGTAAAATTTTTTTTTCTCGTGCAACATAAATTTTTATTAAAATCTGTTACGCATTTGCTAGTTCAACACAACGAAGCTCAGTATAACTGATTGAAAAAGTAGACGTTGTTTCAAACTAACTGCGGATCTGGATAATCCATTGAGGAACCGCATTCTGTGTTCTTATGGCGGCACTCAAAATTAGGGAACTTTTCCCTGTAGACTGGTGTGTTAGTAAATCCCTCTGGATATTCCTGTTTTCAAAATATTTTCAATTAATTCATTAATTGACTAGGAATTTTATAACTCTCACCTTATTGTACACACACTTGACAGTGTAATCTCTGCTAATTATGTTCTTAGATATGCCTTCATTGATCAGGTCTATCACTCTGGAGGCCACGTGAGACGGCACTACGGTTGACCCTATTTTGCAAGAAATAAATTAGAAAAATCAAAACATATATTTTATTTTGTGCAAAAAAAAACCCATTAATAGAATTCAAATTTAAACATATTCTAAAGTCATAAGCTACATCTTGTAATTAAGGTATTTTACATTTATTTGAAAACTATACTGATCACCTCTAGCATGTTGAAATTCGCTTTGAAATTTGATATGAAAAGTAAATACCTGTATATTCCCCAACAACGCCAATGTGGAAAGATGGAGATGCCTCTGAAAATGGAGAAATTTTGTTCCAACCGTTGCCCTCAAAGATTCCAGTGCATCCACCAACAACAAAACTGAAAAAAAGATTGCACATTAATTTTAGCTCATTTTATTATGGTGTGTGTGTTTGCATACTTATAGCCAATATCACCGCAATCATTCTCCATGTGGACCTGCTGCAGTTGCCTCATAACGTTCCTGCAGTTTGGGAAACTGCTTGTTCCACAATAGTTGGTCACTGTGGGGTGTAGATAAACAACCTTGGCCTGGCCAGTGAAAGATGAAAGCGTTTTAGATGGTGCAACGGCATTCCATGAGCTCCGATCATACATGGAACTCAGACCAATGCAGTAATCCGTAGTGACAATTGCCGCAACAAGGATAACTAAAAAGGAGATTATTATTATTATTATTATTATTATTATCAAATGGTAAATAAAATAGTTACAAAATGAGAGCTAGTAAAGAAATGAATATTTTAAATTACTTACAGAGAATGAAGCGCATGGTTGAAGATCCTGTTGAGTAGTGGCGAGAGGCGTTAGAGGAAGAGAGGAACATGAAATACTTGATAGCCTTTGCCCTTTGTTGATAAATGGATTTAATATTTATGTTTGTCAAATATTCTTTCTCTGCATCTATATGTTTATTGCTTTTTCCTCTTTTATAAAACTTTTACTAACATATTAAATTTTGCATTACGACTCTATTCTGACAGTGATTGCCTTTTGGTACACAAATACGGCGAAATCCTTAATTATCTTAAGGACAAATAAGGATTCTCTTTAAATTGAAATGTGTGATTTGGCTTTAAGTGTGCAGGTATAAAATTTTCCCAGTCGAATTTCATATAAATATAATCGCAAGTGCAAGTGTGAAGCATATGGATGTGTATGAAATTGGAGTATGATCTTGAAAATTTTTATTTTTTAATTTCTGAATAGTGTGAAATTATATTTCTGATCAATAACTTTCTGATTAAAAAAAACTTTTCTAGTCAATCTAGAAGAGGTGGCAAATAAATTTCTTATAAACACTGATTCCTCGATTTGGTTTAATGTAACAATCTATTGGAATTTTAAAATGATAATTAATCAATTTTATTTACATATTCAATGTATTTTTATTGTAAGAAATTGTTTTTATATATATTCTCCCTTCACTTGTACTCAATGAATCAGATAAAAAAGCATTGAAAATATATACACTAAAATTAACTAATAAAAAGCAACCATTCATGAATAGTCTATATAATAGCATGCAATCAAAAGTAAAATATTGATCAATTTTTAGGATTTTTTGTAGTGGTCCTAAAATTGTCATAAATTATGAGCGGTGTAACTGCAGGCTTAGATGTTGTGGCCGCCGAATTCCTTATTATTCCAGCGATTGTGCTGGTTCTCGCAGAAACCGTGGGTCTAGGCGTCGTGGAGCCAGCCGCAGTCCCTATGACTGGCTGTTCAGGGAGCAAAAGATCATTGACATGCTCTTCATATTCCTTGAAACCTTGCAGAAAACTCTTGACCATCAATTTCCGAGCTGCGGACTGTTTAGGGGAAAAAATTAAATTTGCTCAAATGATCAATTTTGTGTGAGATTTGAACTAAAAGATAGAGGCATCGGTCCGTGCTCTTTTGACTTTCAACAAAATTAAAACTAGACATCAATTTTAGAAATAAATATTTTACCGATTTATGCTCAGTTATAGTGTAAGGTTTTTTCAGCTTGTTCCTTAGCAATGCCTCGCTTATCAAAGATCGCAGTGTCTGACTCATTTCAACAGGAACCGCAGTGTCTGAAGAGTACAAAATATTACAATTTGCCACACAACTAAACAAAATTAAAATCCGATCCAAAAAAATTATTTAGATTTTAAAAGTTTTATAATAATATTTAAAATACTTAATTAATTTCAGCATAGTTAATATGATATTTAAGAGCCCAAGTGGATATTTAATGCTCTCTTCTTAATTAAAACTATAAAATAATTTTTATTACTTTACCATACCTTGTTGGAAATTATTTTGCATTTCTTAATTTCTCAAAAACGTTTGTGAAAGTATATCAATTTTTTTTAACATTTCTTATTGTATGTAATTATTTATATCGTAAATTGCATTAGGTTTATTCGGTTTTATATTTATTTTAGAAGAGAATTTAATTAATTGATATAATAAAATTAAAACTGTTTCAGTGGTTTCATACATTAAATGTGCGATTAAGCTCATTACTTTGGTAATTCAACCTTGTTTACAATACTAATGGGGTTAAATTTTTTTTTCTTAGGTTCATTTTTTTAAACTAATTTTCATGTATTATACCGTCATAGTATCCAACGAGTGCCACGTGAATAGGAGAGCCCTTGTAATTCCACGAGATGGGCGCTTTGAAATCCCAGCCGGTGCCTTCGTAAACGCCGCCGCAGCATCCAATTAGGAAGCTGAAATCAATTATTTCCGCTCTGATAATGGCCCCCGATAAAAGTTAGCCGTAAAACCGAATCGTTATTGCGGCGATTGGCCATCAAAGTGCTGTGCATACTTGTATGGGATGTCGGTGAAATTGGATCCGAGCGCCATACTTTTGATCTGCAAATCCCTGACGATGCTCTTGCATTGCGAAGGGATTGCGCAAGGATCGGTGTTTGTCGTGTGGATTACGACGAGGGCAGCCGGACCGTCGAATCTCGGCAGCCGAGTGCTCGCCGTCCGCGCGCCCCAAGTGCGCCTGTTGAATATGCAAAGCACATGTGTGGGCCCTGATATCAATAGCAACAGACCTGCAACACAATTACTTCACTTTTGAGATGTATAACTATAAACAGTAGATTTCCACATTAATTATTTTTATAATCTTTGATAACTGTGGCACTGAAATTTAGCTTAAAATAACAGTTTAGTTTTTTTCTGTTTTGGAAACTATAACATAAATAATTTCCTAAAAATATTCCTTGATATTTTAAACATAAATTTATATTTTTATTGCTTATGTAATGATTTTTTTTCCAAATTTAAATAATTTTAATGGATTTTAGTGATTATAGTATAAAATAATTTTAATTTAAATTATGCTGTAAGTAATTAAATTTATAAATGTGCTCATCATGATTTATCACGTTTAATTTAATAATTTAAAAATAAACTTGTTTGGTTTGTGTATTTTGATTCTTTCTGTTCATTGTGTAGAAAATTATCAACAAAAATTACTATTTCCATCTTCTTAACCGTTAAGTATTGTTTTGCATTAAGACTTGGGTGAAAATGTGTAGCATTTTATTTTCATGGATTATTTATTTCACTCTGTATCAAACTGGGTGTTAGTACGGGTGTCTGCGTCACAGCATAAGCCCCCGGTGAAAAACAAACGATCAAATAAGCGCATTTGTCCTGTACTGTATACTCGGTTGTAAAACTCACCGAGCGCTATTTGAAGATTCATGGCGATGCAGCCGCTGGACCACTGGGGATTTTCTCACCGGTTCGCACAGCAGCACGTTTCACTGGCGTTTGTTTGTCCTGCAAGCGGCAGTCGCGATAACCCCATGGAACTCTGAACTTCGATATCTTATTTGGGCCGATCGACATCCAAAGAATGACAAATGCGACGAGCCTTGATGATGATGAGGTGGACCGTATCTCTTTTCCTCAACGTTTCCCCTCTTTTGGCACACACAGGGCCGCGCGATGTTCTCCAGATAAAGCACGAAATATGAATTACGGTATCATGAAGAAAAGTATAGTGTGTTTTAAATTGCACGCTCTGTGCAAGTGTTGGTCGGAGGTACTTTGTGCTCGTCGCTCCCATTGAAAAGCCTTTCAAATTTAGGTCAATGAGGCGCTTAATCGTTTCATGCGTGCGGAAAAGTAGCGCTTGTCGCTCAGCTAGGCTCCAATTTTATTCAATTTTCAGTGGTATTACCAGATTGCCATATTATTATTTTTACAGGTTAAAAACTTTCCACAAAATGAATCAAATCGCTGATTCTAAATTTAATAAGATTTTGTTATTAATAAAATTGAAATTATTCTATTTTATGCCAGTTAGTATTTAAATCGTAGCTCTACAAACCGTTTTCATTGCTTTCTATAACAGAAAAATTATTGCGGAGGAAGCGAAATTTGATTTGTTATCAACAATAAGAATGTTCTTTATAAAATTGCTTAAAATCTGTCAAAAGTTTCCGATTATTTGGAATAATCACGAGTCTCTAAATAATTTTGATTTTCATTTATTCATGACAAAATCTCTATCCAGATTTACATAAAATTGTGTTCGATATCTAGAGAATGGGGGAGAGGAGTTCAAAAATTATTAAATCTTATTGCTGAAAACTATTTAAATAGTTATATAGTTGGCAAATTTATTTAATAAATTTTCATAATTTCACTCACCAAAAACTTACCTTTTTTAAATTTCAAAATTTCAATTTAAATTTTAAAGATAGGCTTTTAGTAGCGTTAATTTCCCTTTCATTGCAGCTGCTATTTGCGAATTCCGTTTGTGATGCAGTCGGCGGAAAGCGGCGTACGCGCCCAAAAAGACGAAACTGGCTCTGCGCAGACACATATATAGATAACCAGGCGTAACATTCGTTGCACACACGAACACCCGCCGCTTCATTTCCACCTTAACGCGTTCAATCTGCGCGCCCTAATAAAAGAGAAAAAAAGAGTCTTGCACAGCAGGCGCCGGCAATTAAACGCCGCCGTACATTTTCTGCCAAAGCCGTGAGAGGAATCGATTCCAGAATGGCGAGAGGCCGTAAAGTAAAACAACGGTGGCGACCGGCGTATAATTTGCATAAATTTATCCAGATACGCAAATTGAATAAATAAAGTTTGTCACCCAGGCAGACGATGACAAATGGATATACGCGTCGCTGAATTTTTTTACTGCCTGCCTTCCGAAATGAGATATTTTATAGCACGTGTGTGTTTGTTTATGTTTGTTTGTTTGCCGGCTTGGGACTTTTTTTTCTTACAAAGGAGAGAATTGCAACCCCTTTGGCGGATAAAAGTTTTCGCAGTCGCAACCAGCAAAAGGCAAAGCATCCGTTTCTTTCCATGAGCTTAAAATTTAGAAATAATTATATACTGTATCAAAAATATTAAAAATGTAAATTTAAGTCGAATTAATGCTGCCGCTCATTTTTAATTACATGCATTGCCATTGCACGCGATAATTATTAATGTTTGGTGCCAAACGTTTTAATCTTCTAAAAAAAAAAATATTTATATTTTGTAACAACATTAATTATTTTCTATATTAATATAAATGCTTATAATTTGAAATTTATAATTTATTTAAAATATTCAAAATTGATGAAAGTAATTCAATCTCACTGAATTGCGTCACGACTGGAGTATTTCTTCCTTTTTCATTCTTTTGGTGCAAGGCCCTCATACAAGAAAAATATCCTTTTCCGCCGCCAAGGGAAGACAAGCGTATCATCGTTCTTGTTTCTTTGGTCCAATATTGAAAAAGTTTAAAGAGAATACACACTAACTTGCCACTGTTGCCGCCGACGCGTCGCTCCCTTTTCTTTCTTATTTATATTGTCCAAAAAATTCTGTGGCATCGTTCCACAAGAAGAAATTCTCGCCGGAATAACAAAGAGCCGCGACCACACACAATAAATATTTATCACCGCAGCCTTTCTTTTTTCCCGTACACTACATAGAAAACTAATTCAAACGCGGCCAATGCTTTGAGATGGAAAAAGAACTACACACTGCGCTTAATAAAATAAATCCAAGCAGATATTTTACTTCGGGGCCGCGTGCTTTGTGTTCGCCCTTTGCTAATGCAAGAAATTTTGGCCCTTGTTCATAAAAGCGCCGGGGAAATAGCGCAGCTGTAAAGAAAAGGAAATTGCGACTCATAAATATGATGGAGATTGTAAGACTTTATTCCATTCTTTGTTCTCCAGCTTGCTTTTGTTTTAAGGATCTCAATTATTATTAATCTTGCTAGATATTTCTGTTCGTCCTATATTATTAATGGAATTTTGCAAGACGGTTTTCTTTCTCATTTATGCCAACAGTGCTCTGATTAAATGAAAAACAAAATTTCAAAATCACGATCTCTCAGTTATTGTTAATTACTCTTCTCGGTCAATACAAAATATTATTTATTGAAATATGACAATCTGAGTAGTTAGGCTTGACAACTAGTAGATTTCTGCTATGTAATATGCTTGACATTGAAAAACATGACTCGGCTGGTTTGATAAAAACTTTTAAAATTTTTTTAATAATTTAAAATAAGTAACACAATTTAATTTTACTTAAAATTTTGTACAAATTTTTTATTATGAATTTTTTATTTAAATAAACAAATATTTCTTATAATATAAACTATTTGTTGAAAGATTTAATAAATAAGCACAAACTTAATAATTGTTATGACTCAAAATTCAAACTACACTTTTGTTTTAAGAGTTTAAAAAAAGGAATATGTATAAATATGTATATAATATCATTGCTAATGTAACTTTAATATTATTTTGGAAACATTATTAACTGAAGTTCTCGTCCTGAGCTAGTTGAAATAATCAATTAATCATTGATAGGAAAAGATATTTGCTTTAATAAAAGCTAATTGACATAGATGAAATTTGCAATGATGAAATGAAGAAAGCTTCGCCAATTTTTTAAGTTATTAGGGGTGGACATTTTAAATTGAATTTTTTTTACATGAATATAATTTATTTTGATTGGATTAAACATCTTTTTATTATTATATTCTCTTTCAAACAGCAAGCGAAATTGATTTGACATTGAACGTGTAGAGAATGACAGCGGTGATTGGTAATTTCAGCGAGCAATTTGTCGCGATCATGACACACGTCATAAATATTCTATCGTGGCCTAGTTAGTGTCTGTCGTCGGTTGAACTCAAAAGGAGCCGATTTAAAATTCATGAAGCGCCTCTGCAGCTGGGGCGGCTGACGAGCAAGTTATTGGCATAATTAAGGGCTGCTGCCGCCGGAGAAAGCACAAGTGAATGTGTGACGTGCAGCAATCGAAGAAGAAGAAGTATTTAGGCAGCGAGAGCAATTGCGGTGCAGTTTCCGGCCCGTCGCTCTCTGCATCCAGAGGAGCAATCGATCCGACTGCACATTAGTACAATAGACATGCTCACGTGTGACGGAACTACCCTCGGTCAGGCGCAATTAAAACTTCACCCCGTAGCGAATTAGCATCGGCGGCCGCACCACCCAGTGCAGGCAATTATTTCACAGATAATTGCTCCGACACTGCAGCCGCCGTCTTGTCCTAGATTCGCGCAAAATGGCAATTGCAAATGTCATGAGAAGGCTAGACTAGATTAAAAAAAAAGCGCACAGTTAATTAGTTTGACATTAAAGAATTTACAAGGCTACAGAAATGATTGGAACAAAAGTATTTTAATTTGTAAATAATGATCCAAGAATAGTTCTTCATCTCAATATTGAAATACCGTGAAATACAAAAAGCATGAATAAATATAGAAATTGAAATAATTAAACATAAAACAAAAATAAACTATACATTAGTAGTGCACTAAATAAAATTTAAAAAAATGTATAAAAAAAATTTAAATTATCAAAATTATGTGTTCTTATTTTTTATTTTTTTTTTTAAAGAAGCTAAATATTCAATTTAATAAATGTAATAATTATTATTTATTTTTATTTTTTCTTAATTTTTTCAGTTTAGACTTGACAGATGCACATTTTTTCGCAGAGTAATTAGTTAAAAAATAGTTTAAAAAATACTGTCAAATAAAATAAAAAAATACAAATTAAATGCTTTTAAACGAGTGCAAATGGTGTGAAGAAATAGTTTATATCATAATTTACAATATTCTTCCCATTTCCCCTGCAAAATAATCAAAATAGAAAAGAAAGTATTCCACGTCAAGCAAGTTGCCTACTTTCGCATTTGGCAGGCGCTCGCTGCTGCATTATCTTCCGAAAACTTGGTCACGCTCGATTATTTATTCAAGCGCAATCCGCAATTTCGTCCCCCGGCTCAAATTTGCGGGAGGAGTTAAAAAAAACATCTCTGCTAAAAATACATTTGTACGCAGAAGGGGAGAAAAATAAAGAGTTTAAACGGCCCCTGGAGACTTCATCCGCAAAACGGTTTCCCTTCTTCGCGAGCGAAAACAGAATTAATAGCGGAGAGGCTGTGCTTTGATGAGGACTGGAATTTCCCATGCAAATCCTCCGTATCAGGGAGTAACACCTGTAGTCGGTATCAGAGGCGAACAAGTTCATTTGGCCTGTGTGTTGTTGAATCAATACTGCGTGACGTCACGCCGAGTGGAGCGAGTGAGAGAGAGGGATTTTTGCTCATTCCGGCACCGCGTCCCCGAGAATAATATAAAGTCTGAGCTTTCTTTCTCCGAGAAAAAAATGGAGTAATTTTGCCGTTCTTCCCCTCGGCAGCGACTCTTGGCGAACCCATTCATTATTATACGCGAAATTACATGCGCGCAGGAAATATAAAGCAGGCAGGTCTTTTCGTCAAAAGCGGCCGTGGTCTCGCGGAAGAAAGTAATAATAAAGAATAAGAAATCCAACCAACGAGGAAAGAAAAAAATAAG